TCTTTCTTGATGAGTTGATTAAGCTGCTTTGCGGAACTAAACTCAGAAGATCCCTCACCATAAAAAACTCTCGCATTGTTGATTAGTAGCAGTAAATCTCGAAAAAACATACTCTTGGAGCTTTGGTAATAACCTTCTTCCACACGAGTTCGAATCATCTCAAAGTCTAGATGTTGCCTTATTATCTTCTCGTACTCAGGTCTTTCCTGCAACTTCAGAATCAAACAAGTAAAACTCAGGCTTTAAGACAAGCCATGTAATAATGGTACCAAAATGTAGACAACACAGTTAAGTGAATTTTGCTTTTTTTAAGGAATCGAGCATTGTTTATTTTCTGATTTCTTTTGCCAAAAATGGAGTTTTGAAGAAACAAAACATGGAATTTGAATTGAGGATTAAAAAACTAGTTTTAATTTTTTACCTGGTTCTGTAACCGGCGCGAAAAGTGGGAGCCAATAGGGTGAGACTGAAGAATCTCAATGAAATCAATCAACGGTCGAGATTCAACGGAGATTTTATTAACGGTCAGAGATTGATCATCGTTATCCATTTGGTTTTGTTCTACCGTCGTCTCCTTCCTCGGCAAGCTCGCCGAGCTCTGCACGTCACTCGTTTCCTTCTCTCCTCCTTTCGACTCGTTCATTGACTCATCAAACTCGGGCGAGTCATTTCCTTCTCTTACTGGTCCTGCTCTCTCCGATTCCTTCTCCACGCTCTCGCAACTTCCTCTACACGAATCCTCTTTCGCCGGTTTCTCGTCGATCCGGTTCGGCTCTTTGTCTACTGATTCGATGAATTTCCGATCTCGGTTCGTGTTTCCCGAACCGGTTCCGGGACTATTGTCATTCGGATCTGAAGAATTAGGCGGTTCGGTAACCGGAACGTCGGATTTGTTACCCGATTCACGGTGGTGTCTCTCTTTCGTATCTAGATCTGAATGATCGGTTCTTGTCTCCGTCTCTTTTAAGCTCTTCTCTCTCTCATCTTCCAATCTCTTCACCTTCGACTGTAACGACCTGCATCGAATCAATCAACCAACTCACAAATTCAAAAAAACCAAATCTGGAATCGAGAGACGCAACAAAAGCATGAGCACGATTGGAGATTTACGAGATGGATAGATCGTAACGTTCGACTTCGCGTCGGAGCTCATCGACCCGGAGTTTTCTCAATTCATCAAGCCAAGGAACGGAAGAGATCTCGTCGGCGATGGTTTCTCCATCATCGGATTCCGGCGAGGTCAGTTTCCGGGAGGAGAATCGATGTTTGAGATCGTGGTATTTGTGACGGCAGTCGAAGGCGGTGAGTGTACGGAAAGTGGAGTTTCGTTTCTGGATTTCGGCGGCGACGGAGTCCCATGAATCGATACCGTGACGGTGAACGGCGCAGGCGAGGAGAAGCTCTTCCCAAGTGCTCCATGTTTGTTTCTCCAGGCAAGTTTCGTCGTTTTCTGGTTTTGCCATTGTCAGGAAATTCGAGCAAGAGAGTGGATTTTTGCTTATTGTCTTGTCTCACTTGTCTAATTTGTATATATGTAATTTGTCTTCTTAATTCTCGTTGGTATTGGTTTTATTTTTCAAGTGTTTGTCTGTAATCGGTTTTGGTTCGTCGGACAAATAATTCTGTAAGGTTTCGTTGATAAAGTTGTATAATTTCTAAAGCGCACCAATTGAGAAAATGTTAGAACAACTTTGCTCGTTTTTTTTGTCGTATCATCTAGTGGGTCCAGCTTATCACACTTGACCCAATAACGATTTGGAACCAAATGGCCCAATCAAGAGAGTCCAGTTTCTGGTAATTAAGCTTTTTTTTTTGTTATTGGACCCATTGAATTATGTTTGTGGTAGGAATGTGAATTTTCATTTCTACAAAAGAAACTGTAAAAGCTCAGAAGCAAAGCTTAGTCTACAACGATTCACCACAAAATTTTAGGGACAAACATGAAAGTCTCTGAAGAGCTTTGAGAGACTCCATAAAACCTCTTTACTATGGTGATTCACAAGTAAGAATGTGTTTATCGGCACTATACGAAAGACGATATGACAAGTTCCTCTCTATAAATATTATAACTAAAATATCGTCACTGATGTTCTTCATCTGACCATCAAAGGAATATCCGCATAAACTATCAAAGCTAATGATAAGTTCATCAAGTCAACAGTTATACATTAGCAGCATTGGGCAGGTTAAACAAACAGACGAGTTTCCATAGGAATATACAAAGGACCTTCTTCTACAACACTTCAACATTCTTACTCTTGGTTCAACTTCCGGATGCAAAGCTTCATTTCCAACACGTCACCACGCAAGAAACAGTGAGGGATCAACATGAAATTCTCTTGTGGAGTTTGAAAGCTGACTTCAAGAACCATCTTCATCTTTGGTGATTCGTAAGTCATTGTGTGTCCATCCACAGTGTAAGAGAGATGATATGAGAACTCTCCTACTTCTGGAGCAGATGGTGCAATGCAGCTTACAGTTACATACACACCATACGGCCCCCTGAAACACTGCAATGCAAACAATAGAGCCTTCTTATATTCCCTTAGAATTAATATCTTACCACTGATGTTCATCTCGGCACTAAAGGAAATGCCACATCTGAACTGAACAATATTGCACGCTACAGTGTGTTTGATAATATTGTGAACGAAAAGATCCTCGTATGAGGCAGCCTAATTGCAGTCTTGAACAGGACAGGAGCAAAGAGAGAATTTGCATTCCTTCTCATGAGTTAATTCACTCCCATAAGAGGCATTCTTGGTGCATCCAAGGTTGGAGTTTCGGCATGGGACAAAGATCGATTCAAGAACAGTCTCCATTGCTCTGCAACGATTGTGGCCGATAGGCAAAGCACATGAAGGACATTTATTACTCAGTCTGGGACAGCAAGAAGAGCAAGCTAAATGTCCATTATCACACTGAAACACAAAAACCCAATCAAAGAGTTGTGATAAAAAATCTGTATCAACACTTAATTCAAGCAAAGAAACTTATTTGCAGAAGAAAAAAATCAAATTAGACATCATGACAACATAAGTTGATTCTCCAACTCAAAACTGTCACAGTAAGGATGATGTCCAAATCACTGTTCTTGCCAAATTATACACCTGTTTTTGGAAGAACTACAAGTGCAAACATGAACATATCTAACAATTTACTTCACTAAAATCCTCAAAAGATATGGAATTTACTTAAAATCTAGTAAAATGGGCACAAGTCCAACTTCGTTCTCCGTTTACTCCTAATGCAGAGTTTATCAAAAGTACAATCACAAAGAAGAAGGAGAAGCTACAAGACCTGGAAGATAGGAATTGTCAATACTTCGAAGCAAATAGGACAATGGAGACTATCTAGATCCAGCAGCGTCGTCGAGAGACTCTTAGCTCCATTACCGGAAGAGATCGAAGAACCTTGTCTCTTCTGCGACAGATCCCTTCCTTCGCCTGAAGCTTCTGCAATCGAGGCTCCAACCATGTCTACCGCTAAAACCCTAATCCCCTTTTCCTCTTTCAGTCTCCTTTTTTACCTTTCAACTCTCGTTTCTCCATTTTAACCTTTTTTTTTTTTGTTTTCTTCTAATTATTGTGGATGTGTGTTTGGTAACTGTTTGTCGTTTTAATAGTTACCATTTACAAAAACAGTAAAATTAATGGTATCGAATCGTAAACGTTTTGTACCGATATCTCTTGAAGGTGCACAGATATCAAAAACACTTCGCGAAGCGAGAGATGCAATGGAAGTTTGAGAATGATGGAGAAAGGCAAGTCCACATCGCTGCGGCAAGTCCACATGGTACATTACTAAAAAAACAGTGGCTCTTTAATTTCTTTGTTTTGTCAACTCTTTACATTCTCCTTTTCTTTAAGAAAAACAAATTCTTAATTGGTGAATGTTTTTTCCGTTTTTATTTTCTATATACATATCTATTTTAGATAACATTATGAATTTGAACACTATAATGTTTAGCATATATATGGATTAGTTTTCTTGTATACTATAATGTTTTACTTGGATAATAGATTTGATTTTTTTTTTAAATATTATGTTGTCTAAAGATTTTCCTTACTTTTATGATATATAATGTAGCTAATATAATCAATAGATAAATAAATATGAACAAATATATAATGTAGAAAATATGTGATTAGATTAATAACTATAAATATGTATATTGGAGATGGTAGCGTAATAGTTCCTATAATTATATTTATTGTGTTAGTTTGAGTTTGATAGTATCTATTGTGTGAGTTATAGATAATAAAATATATTTGCCCTCCAGTAAAAATTATTTCTGGATCCGCCACTGGCACTAGTTCCGCACCATATATATATATTCCCAAACAACTAAAAATATCGTCATTGACGTTCATCTGACCATCAAAGGAATATCCGCATATGAAACTATCAAAGCTAAGGAATAAGTTCATCAAGTCAACAGTTATAGACAAGCAGCATTGGGCAAGTTCAACAAAAAAGAAGAGATAGATAAGAGTTTCCATAGGAATATACAACCAAAAAAGAACCATCTTCTACAATTGCCCGAACCTTCTTACTCTTTGTTTAACTTCCGGATGCAAATCTCCATTTTCAACACGTTACCACGCAAGAAACTGTGAGGGATCAACATGAAATTCTCTTGTGGAGTTTGAAAGCTCACTTGAAGAACCATCTTCATCTTTGGTGATTCGTAAGTCATAGTGTGTCCATCCACAGTGTAGGAGATATGATATGAGAACTCTCCTATTTCTGGAGCAGATGGTGCAATGCAGCTCACAGTTACATACACACCATGCGGCTCCCTGGAACACTGCACTGCAAACAATAGACTCTTGTTATATTCCCTTTTAATTAAAATCTTATCACTGATGTTCATCTTGGCGCTTAAGGGAATGCCACAGCTGAAAGTATCACGCCTGGATCTTTGACTGTGGTTACGATAATAGTGATTGTAAAGATCACTGTAAAAGGCAATGTGATTGCAGTCTTGTACAGGACATAAGCAATTAGAGAATTCGCATTCCTTCTCATGAGCTAATTCATTCCCATAAGGGACATTCTTGGTGCATCCAAGCTTGGCGTTTTGGCATGGGACAAAGACCGATTCAAGAACAGTCTCCATAGCTCTGCAACGATTGTGGCTGATTGGCGAAGCGCATGAAGGACATTTATTACTCAGCTTGGGACAGCAAGAAGAGCAAGCTAAATGTCCATTATCACACTGAAACACAAAAACCAATTAGTGATTTGTGATTTGTGATTAAAAATCTGTATCAACACTTAATTCAAGAAAATAAACTTATATGCAGAAAAAATATCAAACTAGACACCATGACAACATGAGTTGCTTCTCCAACTCAAAACTGTCAGAGTAAGGATGATGTTCAAATCAGTGTTGTTGCCAAATTATACACCTGTTTTTTTCTCAAGAACTACAAGGGCAAACACGAACATATCTAACAATACTTCACTAAAATCAAATCATCAAAAGATAGGGAATTTCTTAAAATCTAGTCAAATGGGCACACGTCCAAATTCGGTCTCCGATTACTCCAAATGCAGAGTTATATCAAAAGTACAATCACAAAGAAGAAGGAGAAGCTACAAGACCTGGAAGATAGGAATTGTCAATACTTCGTAGCAAATAGGACAATGGAGACTATCTAGATCCAGCAGCGTCGTCGAGAGATTCTTATGCTCTGTATTAACTCTCTTCGCTCCATTACCGGAAGAGATCGAAGAACGTTGTCTCTTCGTGCTCGATCCGTTTCCTTCGCCTGAAACTTCTGACATCGAAGCTCCAACCATGTCTATGGCTTAAACCCTAATCCCCATTTTCCTCTTCTCCCCTTAAAACTTTCTTTCGGTTTCCTTTTATACTTTTCAACTTCGTTTCTCCAATTATTTTTTTTTTTTTTAATTATTGTTTCACTTCCGTTTTATACAGGCACTTTTGGTAATTTTTTTTTGTCATTTTAATAGTTACTACCAGTTATAAAAAAACAGTAAAAATTTAATGGTATCAAATCTAAAATGTTTTGTACCGCTATCTCTTGAAGGTAATGTAATACTTAACTCGCGGGTCAATTTCTAGGAAGAGCGTCCGGGATCGTGCAGAGATGTCTTAACCCGTGTAAGATCAATTTGCGAAGCGAGAGATGCAATCTGCCGCGATGAAAGTTTCAGAATGATGGAGGGAGGTAAGTCCCCATTGCTGCGGAACTAATAGCTCTTAGACCAAACAAGTTGGTGAAGCAATCCCTCATCAAACTCACTGAAACCTTTCTTCTTTTTGTTATGTCAGAGAGGTATATACATCACACTTGATTCCTATGGTCTTTTGTAACTTGATTCTTTCACTCGATCCCAAATTTTGATATCGGAATATCGCAACCTATCAGATTCTGCGTTCGACATAACCCGAGGTCAGGTTATACTGAAGATTATGCCGGTACTTACAGAAACCGGCGAATCTCTAGTTTGTTTAATCGCACATAACCGCAACCTCTTATCAATTCAAAAACCATAGATGATTCTTTATAATTCAACAGTACTGATTAATTGATACTACT